CAGTGCATCACAGATGGTTTCAATAAGCTTCACGAAATGAAAGGAAAAAGAGAACTAATTATACCCAAAAGTTGGAGTGGAAACTTTTTATAGATGGTCTTAGTTTAGAAATTGAATTAAGAAATGAGAAAATGTTGGCCAGAGATGATGCATATTTTGTATAAGTCAGAGTTTGACTCTCATTAGAGTAGTATTAAGACATTTCTTCAGTTTGAGGTTCATTAAATTCATTATATGCATGCTTTGTGAAAAACATTATACTAGGCACTCTTTGGAGACTGGGGTAGGGGCAGGAGAAAGTAGCAATCAATGACATAGACACCAAACGGAGATGGGGATAGGGGAGGAGAGGAGAAGGTAACAGGATAAGTAAAGCATAGCCCCAACAATTAAATTGATTGCCATGAAGTGAAGAAAATAGACCTATAGCAATTTACTGCAGTATAACATAATACCGAATGAAAAAAGTGTTAAAGAGAAATTACAGACAAGCTGCTGTATGAGTGTGAAGGGCAGAGAGAATAATCCTGAATCGTAGTGATTAAGAAACGCTTCAAGGAGGAGGTGGCATTTGAACCAAGCCTTGAAAGACGAGAAGCATCTCAGTCATGGGAATGTAAGGAGAAGGGCATTTCAATTGAGGGAATGAGGGGCTCCAGGGAAGTAACGAATGTGATGGGAGATGAAACTGAAAAGTTAAGGTTAGGGCCAAATTACAAAAGTCCACACATATCTTACTAATCAATAAATCTGGATTTTAATTGTCCTTCCCTTAGATTCTTTCTCTAGGCCGACAGCCTTTATTTTATACTCTCTTGAGTACTCTATCAATAAATGACAGCGCTTTTCTCCTTTACATTTCAGAACATATACCCCTCTTTACAACATCTTTAATAAGACCCCACCTGATAACTGTTCCTTGTGAGCCAGTAGCCTGAGTTTCAGGTTTTTCTATTAAGAGAAATCACTAGCACTATAAATTGGCATTCCTTATATGCTACAAAGAATCATGACTATCTGAATATATTAGCATTTAATGTTACTGTGAGTTATTCAGGAAATATTCAAATAATATTTGTGAATATCATTCAGCATAAACAGGACAAAAATGAATAAATACCACCCTGGTATCTTTGTTTGCTGTTTCTTCTACTAATATTTGTAAATTTGATATTGGAAAGTAGTCTGTTTCCTCAATTGAATCTTTATTCTTGAATCTGTCTTTCATGAAAATTCTATAATCTTATAAAGAATAGTTCATTACTTATTATTCAACAAAATGTTGTTGCTAGTAGCTGATGATTAATAAAATATCTTAAAGTTTTATAGTACCATAAAAGTACCATAAAAACTAGTATTCAGTTGAAATGGTCAATGATATCTCTTTAAAAATATGGTCCAATTTTATTTTATTTTTCTTTTTATTTTTTGGAGACAGAGTCTCACTTAACAGGGTCAAGCAATCCTCCCTCCTCAGCTTCCTGAGTAGCTGGGACTACAGGCATGTGCCACCATGCCCAGCTAATTTTTTTAGTTTTCGTAAAGTCAGGGTCTCAGCTAATTTTTTTAGTTTTTAATTTTTTGTAAAGTCAACCATGTTGGCCAGGCTGGTCTCGAACTTCTGAGCTTAAGCAGTCCATCCACCTCAGCCTCCCAAAGTGCTGGGAGTATAGGAGTGAGCTGTCACGCCCCACCAGATTTTTTTGTGGGGGCCCTATACTCTGCTCACTTCCCAGTGTATCACAACTATATCTTCCTTTGTTCTATTCTTCCTGTATTTACCACACAATTGTCAACTGTATTATTTCAATACAGGGCTTGTTGTACTGGGGCTAAACATTATTCATTTTCTTAAAATCTTATCACACGCTAGAATATATCTTAAATTTACTTAGAGATTGAATTTGACTTTGAGAGATTGTTGTTGTATTGGAAATGGAACCAATCTAGTATGCCAGTCCTGAATTGTTTCGCACAGTAGATGTTTTGTTTGTCTAGCATATTTTTTGCTGTGAGCCATGATTCCACTTAGGATTTAAGTGAGTCAATCAATCCACACCTATTGCATGCAAATCATGTATTTATATAGGTCTCCCCTATTTTTTTCCTAAACTCCAGATAGGTGTGTCCTACTGCCAAGGAGACTGTTCTACTTAGATATCAGCCATCTCAAAACTAATGTGGTCAACCACAAACTCTTAATTTCTTTTTTTTTTTTTTTTTTTTTGAGACGGAGTCTT